CTAACAGAGAAAATTGCAACCTCTTGTTTTTCGGACCTTCCCATTGCTTTCCCTCCACACGTAACTCTTTTCAGGAAAGCTGATTGATTATTTGCCTTTGCAGCAGGAATAGTCTGTTATTTGGTGTTGCTGTGATGCCTGCTGGAAGATCTGGGCTTCAGCCTTTAGCACAGGACAGGCGGTGTTGATTTGTATTGCTGTAGGTACTGAATGAGGGTGCTTACCTTCTGAACAATGCAGATTCGTGGGCAAATGCTAGTAGTGAGTATCTTGGGTATTTATTTAACCACCTAAATACATGCATGGAGCCTGTCCTTTGGCTTTCTTGCAATGTCTGAACACCCTTGAACTACTTGACATTCAGCTGCCTTACAATGGAAGTCCTGTATAGTATCTGCTGTGGTTTGAATTGCGTCTTTGTTTTCTTTGTGAATTAGAGGCAGGCTCCAACTGCCATAGCTCTTGCTGAGGCAGATGACAGTGATGAACATGAGTTACCCTGGTGCTGCATCTGCAATGAAGATGCCACTTTGCGATGCCATGGTTGCAGTGGGGACCTCTACTGCCAGCGCTGTTTTCGGTAAGTCTTCCAGCTCCTCTCATCTGAGGGACAGGCCATAGGTAAGCTTAGCTGCTTTTGTTCTTCCTCTTGGGCAGAAGAACAGAAGACAGGTGGGAAGATTTGAGGAACTTGGGTATGAATTGAATGGTAGTGTTTAATGGAAATACTGCTCGTTACCAGTAATTACCCCAGGCTTCAGGGACTAAACTGGTCCTGGACAGAAGCATTCTGTCTGTACTGCTTTAGTGCATGTTAGGGTGCTTTGTTTCAACTATTATCTGAAACAGTTGATGTGTGTGGGATAAGAGAGACCATTGTTCATCACTTCTTATGGTAGGTGTTTTGGTTGTTTTTTGTTTTTTGTTTATGACAATGATGGATAATCTGGGCTGGATTCTCCCAGAAGGGAGATCGGATAGTATAATTTCCTGAGGCTTTTCTTAGCTTGAGACCATGAAGCCTTAAATTGTATGAAAAATGTCAGGTATACAATTCCTGCGCTGGAGATGTAAGCTACTGTCTTAACACTGACTGCTTCTTGGCAAGACTATGACAGCTGCCAGTACACTGTACTTCAGCTACAGGAGTTATTTTCCAGAGTCAAATGGAGCAGGCTACAGTTTTAGCTGTTGTCACTGGAGTTGCTAACATGCCTGCAAATCGCAGATATGGTGCTGAAAATGAGTCTCTGGTTATGAAGCTCACGGGGAGGGGGAGGATAGAGGTCTGCTGTCATTTCCCCACTTCATCAGGCAAGGATGAACAGAGCTTTTCATAAAGTGCATCACAGGTTTCTGTTACAAACAAATCTCTTGAGCAACCAGTCCACATGTTTGCTGGTGTAGTCTTATCAATCAGCCCTTGGAATAGGTTTCTTTTAGAGACTGCTCTTGGGCACTGGCTTAGGGTGAGTTTCCCGCCTGCATATTTACTCTTGACTGCAGTTTGTGTTTGCTTCTCAGGGAAGGCCATGATGAGTTCGACATGAAGGACCACCACACCTCTCGGTATCATCTTCCTTGCAAGTAGTGGTGATCACAGTCTTCGTTGGCAGAAAAGGAGATGGACTCCTTGCATCTGGCCCCCTCCCTCTTCTCCTGCTATCCAAATGGATTTGCAGCCAAAATGGGTGATGTTTTGGACAGTAAAACGATGTGCTGTTAACTAAAAGGGGCTTAGAGGGCATGTGCCTTGGCCCTCAGAAACACAACCAGAGAAGTGCTGGGCTTGCCACCAGTGCTTGGGATAAATGAGGATTTGATGTGAGGTGGTGGCTCTGAGTCTATAAGTATAGACAGTAAGGCATCGTGAATAACAGCGAAGATGTATGCTTAAGGCAGTGTTGGCTGGTTGTTAAGTAATGTGCTTTTGCTAACAGCTTACATGTTGGTTCACAAGTCAGCAGAGTACTTTGCACTAAGAAATTGTCTATGTCATGGTGTGTGATGAGAACTTTCAAAATGTAATAAAACTATTTACAGCAGACTGGTTGAAATCTCTTTTGGAAATGCCTCATAATAGCCCTTTAAAAAGTGTCACCCTCCTGTAATGGTGTCTCAGTTGTACAGCCAGGTGGATCAGGAAAATGAAATCATGAAAAAACACTTCTGTGGTGTTGCTGGGCTGGTGCAAGGGTGTCATGCTCCAGTGATGAGCAGTGTCGTCTATATGTTTGAAATGAAAAATACTTCTTAAAGATAATTTGCTACAGATGCACTGTGTTCTGACCAGCAGTGTCTGCACATAAGTTGCATGTAGTCTATGGGAGCAGCATGTTAATCTGGGAGAGATGTGTGTTACTATGAAAGTGAAAATTGAGTCTGTTTATTACTTGTTCCCCTGGTAGGATAAAAATGCTAGATGTGTGATGATTTCTTACCTGGCTATGAGAGAATCTCAGTTTACTGTGCTTGTATGCCACCCAGAGACAGTCCAGATGCATGCAACACGTGCCAGTGGCTCTAACACCCAGAATCGTTTGAAATACGTGATTAAACTTTTCTGAAATCAGCTCTAATATCCCATCAGGGTGAGCTCTTCCAGGAGTGTAGTGTGACTTTAGACAGCTGTCTAAGGTTGACAAATTCCAGGAGTGTCCAAACAGAAAAACCTTATGATTTGGTTTTGACAGAGAGCTGCCAATTGATCTTGCCTGTCTGGTTTGACACTGCCACTCCCAGCTGTCTGCTTTGCCCCTGTGCTGAAGGTCACTGCCTGTGTAGGTGAGCTGGCAAAACTGTTTGCATGCACTTCAGCCACCTCCAGTCAGCCAGCCAAAGCTCAGTAAATACCTTAAACTACATCCAGAGGTGGATTTGTGCAAACTTGTTGGACTGGATCAGGAGTTTCAGTAGTAATCTGTATCAGACAACATGGTGTGGTAATATTTCTGGTTGACACAGCAAGAAATTGCTAGTATATCTGACAGTGCTGGCTAAACTCATTGTTAGGAAGGGATGGTGAAACCCAATCCACTGAAGCACAGTCTGTGAGAGGAAAGACCTCCTTCACAAGTGCCTTAACATTAGAACAGACAGGAGGGAAAACTACTGCATTGTTCTGATGCAAGAGCTCACAGTGAATCCTGTGTTACACAAGATCTAAGTAGATAGTTACTGACCTGAGGAGTTTGAAGTCTTCATTTTTAAGACTTTATTTTTCTGGCAGTTCTGGCTTCATTTCATTGTGGGAATGGTGCTTTCTTTGTTGTTATTTGACCAGGATAGTTGGTCTGACAGCAAGACAGCCCACTGAAAATTCTGTTTCAGGTTAAATCCTTTGTGTTTTGCATGTACAGAAGATGTAAACAGCCATCTTCTCTCTAAAACTGATCCACTCCTTTGGGTTTCAGCCTTCCCAAGGTTCTTTCCATACAGATAATAGGCAAATTAATTCTTGTTTTACAGGTGTGGTTTTTTTTTTTCCTCCTTTTTATCTATGAGTTGGTGATTTACTTGAAGCAGTTTAAATGTTTGATCCATCACAACACAAGTTTGAGCTCCTTGTGCAGTTAGGTAGCATGAGTCCAGTGAGACCTGCCCTGTGTTCATCAATAGTAAAGCAACAGCTAACAGCCTGAAGCAGCTTATTTAGTTTCCTGGATTGGCTTCTGTGGGTTCATCCCAAGGAATCCAGAAATGCAACCAGTCCAATACCTGAAATAGAACTTAGTCATGGAAGACTCTTCAGTCATTCACACATGCTGACTTTTTCACTGCCCAGTCACTAACGGACATTTTTGTGGCTGCTGAGCTTTCTGCATGTAATTGGCCATTTTAGTGACTGGCCAATCACTTTCTCCTTGTAAAGCCATCTCCACTGTAGCTCATGCCTCCATGCAAAAGGATCATGAGAGCAATCTCAATCAGCTGTCTGCAGAAGCACAATTAACAATCTCATTTGGAAAGAGTATTGTGTGACATTTAGCTGGCCAGTGCACACTTAGCTGTGTTGCACACTGACCTTGGCTTTGAAAAGGTGCTGGTAAAGCAGTAAAGGTATTGGTAAGCTGTGAGTTCCTCACTGGGAGGATCAACCTCAGTGATAGCCATTCAAGAACTGAAGAGAGTTTGGGATCTACAAGAAGGAATCTGTTTGTTTCCTTCTTTGTTGTGTGCCATAAGGATATAAGATGATTTTCTTTTCCTCTCAATATGTTTTGTACGTGAAATATCAAAAGTAGTTTTCTCCCCAGCAAGAATTCAAACTAATACTAACAAATGAATCTGAAATCAGATTGGTTCACAGAGAGGCCTCAGATAAACTGCATTAATTTGCTATTGCTGCAGTTCATGCAGATGTGCTTTGCCTTAACTGCTGTAACAAGCTGTAACTGCTGTAACAACTGCTGTATCCAAATATAGCCTCCTGAATATGTTTAAGGGGAATGTAGCTCATAATAAATGGAAAATGATTTGAAGGTTATTTTATGCACCTTCATGAAATTTTAATTAGAAAAATGCATGAAATTTCACATGTTCTGAGTTATCTTGGTATAATCAAGAGGCAAATGTCACCTTAAAGAAATGTTCTTACCATGCTATCTGCAAATCAAATATCGAAATCTTATGCTAGTAGTGTGATGGTACTGAGAAGCAGCAGTTGACTGGAAACTGTCTGTAAATAAAATGTACTTCAGTCTGTCCTTAAATGCTCAGCTGAGAGCAGCCATAAGTAAATAAAATCAAGTTTGACTTCTTCCTTTCAAGAACTAATCCAAAAGTTGTTCTGCCTTATGTTGTTTTCTTTTGCGCCAGAGATGAGAAGTCAACTAACAGTGGCCACATCATCTTGCTTTGTACAGTTGTATCTTTGTGCTCACCTGAAGTGCACTCTTCTACTACGGTAATGTTTTGATATAGTGGAAAAACTGCATATCACAGGGGCTACAGCTTGCTCATTTTTCTGCTGTTGGAAGAGAACACACAAAGACAACTTCTCTCAAGCAGAGTTCCAAAAGCTTTTTTTTCCCCTCGGTTCTACACCTTTAAAGTACAGCAAAAAAATTGTCTTTTCATCACTCCAAATTGAGTGGGTACAGAATTAACTCCCTGCGTGGAGAAAAATCTGTCTCTTGTGTTGGAGAAATGGCCCTATAGGTCTTCGTGCTGTCACAGCTCAGAAGAATAAAAGCTGCTTTATGGAATATGTAACTAATCTGGACATCTGTGAACTTACACTGCAGCAAATGACAGCTATAGTGAGGACACAGCTCAGGAGCCTGTCCACCAGGGTCTTCCGTCTGAACTTCTGTTTGAATCTAGTCTGTGATGTTAATGGTGCTCAGAGCTCTTTGGCACTAAGCTGCTCTCTGTTCTTGAGAGCTGTGATTCATCAGTGTCAGCAGGTGTGAATCTACGAGCACTGCCAGACTTACAGCAGGTGCAAACCTGCACTGTATATTTTTGTTATTTTTCTTACAAATTGGAGACTTCGGGAGGGAAAGCATGTCCTGTTGGCCTCATATCAAGCCGAACATAAAGGCATTCACCCCTGAGTACATGGTGGTACATAGAAGTCCTTTCAGATGCAACTCACCAACTCATCTCTGGTGTTTGGGTGGCAGCATAGGGACATAATGTGAGAGACTGCTCTGCGTAAGTAGTCATCCTCCATTTGATGTCTTAGTTTCCTGCAACACGTGTCAAGTTACCCACTTGCTGAGAGCCTGGATGTAGTTTCCTCTGTATTTTTCCAGCCACACATTAGTTATAGCCTGAAGAGTTTGTGCAGCAAGGCTGTGTCCTACTTTATTTCTAATTTGTGAGACCTATCTGTCTGTGAAGGACTTGCTGCTTAGGAGCAGGTATGTTTTCAGTTCAGTTTTCTGTAGTGTATAAAAAGAGAGCGATTTTGAGGCAGCACATGGCTGATTTTCTGTTTTAATATACAAAATAAGTATTTTACAATGTCTCTTTAAATGGTGAGAAAAATCATTCCCAGGCCTCGCTCCTGTAGAAGATGCTTCTAGATCATCAAGTTCTAAATTCTGCAAAGAGGAAAAACATCTCTCTTCCACTAGCCTTAGCAGCCATTTTGTCAGCTTCCCCTTAAGTACTGACCAGATGCACTTGGATGTTTTCCTTTGGTCCTACTGTATATTTTCTGTTGAACCTTCATGGCTAACAGAGGCTTAATAAGATCTATAAAGTATGAGCGATGCTGTAGAGACAGGTATGGCAGTAACAGGCAAAAGATTGCAGTTGGGTCCCAGCCAGACTTGAAACAAGGTGCAGCTTCACAGTAACCAACTTTCCATGGTGATGAAGGAGTGATAACCAGTTCCTTGTTTTCCTTGCAGTGGATGGAAAGAAGGAAGTTTTTATGTGCTTCTGAGAACTGTATTTGTTGCTCCCAAGCCAGCTTGGAAATTCCTAGAAGAAACGAAAGGAAGGACATCTTGTCCCATTCTCCAGGTTAAAATGCCCTTTGAGAATCAGGAAAACATACAGCTTAGCCTCCTGCTGTGCATGTAGATCTGGAAGGAGTGGAGACTTGAAGCCACTGGTACAAATTTCACGAACTCAGTGAAGTTCCTTAATAACAGTAAATCCTAAATGTATTCTGAAGTGATCTTGCTGATCTGTTTTTTTTTTATGGGAAAGATGCATTTTTCCTTGTGACCAAAGCTAGATGTCCCTTATGGGTGAGGTAACCTCTTCTGAGGATTGGTGATTCTCCGGAGACCTTTCAATCGACTGAGCAATTCCGTAATGAAGTCCTACAGTAAGAATTGTAGGAAGAAGGATGTTAATTCCGTTTCTCACAGGCCCAAAGAGTTCTATGCCTTTTACATTATTCACGTTTCTCTTCAGGAGCAGAAACCAGGATTTTGACATACATTAAGCAAATGTATCTTCTAGCTTAGGAAATGAGACCTTCTGATGGCTGAACAGGATTTAAAAGCCCTTCTTCTTTCCTTCCCTGGCTCCCTCTGGAACAGCCATGTTTGCTTTTTTTTCTGCAGCAGCTAGCCTGCCTTCTTCCCAATGCCTGCTTGTTCCACCTTGAGATGACCTCAAGATGCTGTTGTCTCAGGTTCCCCTGCTTCCTGTTGCCACCATAACCTCCTGCCCACTTCTGCTGCCCTCCCAATGTAGGGCAAAGCATGCTGTCCCTCTCGTTGCTTCCTTGCTGAACCTGTAAAGCTTCACGTTGGGGACTGCAAATCTCAGTGGATCAATGCCAGTTCTACACGGAAGTGGCTGGCAGAGAAGGGGGTGGAGCAGGACGCACATAAGATTAATGATAACCTGGAGTAGGGGTTGAGGACTGGCAGGCCAGGTAGTTGTGCAGTTAATGGACATAAACCCCACTGCTGACACAGCCAAGCACTACGGACCAAACTGGGTCATCTGGTTATTCCAAACAGAAATCTAAGCAACTGTTTTGACTGCTTGATGTTCAGGTTATGCCTTCCACTCCAGTAATTAAAAGACTGTAAACAATATTAAATTATTTTATTTAACGTTATACTAAAAATAAACACTCTCGGTTCACAGAAACCAGGAGTTTCTCACACTGCAAATTCTTTTTTATTGTCTGGCTCTTGATTTGTTTATTTGTAATTATTAGTGCTATAATGGATCATTGGTTGGACTAGATGATCTTAGAGTCTCTTCCAACCTTAATGATTCTGTGACTCTCTGTGATTAGTGCAAACTTTGCCTTCTCCGGGGCAAGTAACAGCACTGTAAAGACAGCACTGTAAAGGCACCTGTCTCACTTGCTGTTTGTCATTGTACAGCTAAATTGAAAGGCTGGATAAGGCATTTAGATTGATGAAAAACATCCGAGCATAATGTTCACATGCAGTGCATGTGACTGAATCAGGGACGGGGGACTCTGCTGCACACTGCAGAGTGTGGGGAAGTCAATTGCTGTCTGATGTGTGTGCCATGCAGCAGAACACTGGGCTCTGTTTGTTTGAATACCGTGACAGTGATGCTTCCTTAACTCCCTAACTCAAAATCGAGACATGTAAAGTTCAGGGGGGGAAAAAAGTGTGTGTAAAACTGACCTAAGAAGTCACTGCCCAACAATAGTCTGTATAAACAAACATGCACTCAGAGCACAGCATAATATATGTGTGTCAGTGGTGCTTGACTCACCTCTGTTGGACTGGAGCACTCATGGAGGATTTCCTGAAAGCCAGAGAGACATCATTTTAATATTTCATAAGTTGACCCTTCCCTCCAGCTGTAAAAAGGATATATAATCTTACTATTCTTGACTGGCTTCAAGACACAGGGAAGCAGCATACATTATAGTATGTACATTTTCTGCAACCCAAACACATTACTGTACTGTATTACACCAGCAGTTCCTATATTGAAGTTACCAAGTTCCTCTGTCTGACCTGTAGTTTCAATTTCTGTTCTTCATTGGGGACTTCCAGGAGATCTTCAAGGTCAATTACTGGTCCAGGAACTTCTGCATCCGTTTTCTCTCTTAGCTAAAAAGAAGAAAATAAAAACCAGCATAGCTCATAACCCTCAAACTTTTAAGAACTCTAGAGACCATCTTTGAAGAAGTGAGCATCTGAAAAGGAACTAATTACAAGAGAACCATGCTGCAAAGCTGACGTCAAGACACAAATCATCTCAAAGTAAGGAGGTTCTTACCAAGAGGTGTCTTACCTGTGTGCTGTCTGCTACAGCCACACATCTTGATTCATCATCCGCTCCCACCTCAATACTTGATCCCTGCTCAGGGATCACGGTCTGTGATGGGAACACCTTTTCAAGAATATCCAATGTCAATTGCTAACTACAATGCAGTGTAATCCAGCTTGGGACAACCTAATTCTGAAAAGAGTGCGTGCAAATTGTTCATCAAACAGAAGCCCGTCAGGTTTAATCTCAAAGAGGTACTACAAATACAGGGAGATTTTAAGCTTTATGGCTGCATACATTCACATAGTCGGTATTTATACTATGGATTTTTGCAGAAATGAAGAAGCAAACAGCTATGCTTTTGAAAGGTGTAACTTACTATTTGTCAGCTTTCTCTATTAGGAATGGGAGGATAGAATATAGTTTTAATGTAAGAGAGACCCACAAGTTTTGGAGGTAGGAGTTACAGTCTCAGTACAAGTGAATGTTATTTGGGAACACTTGTAAACTTGGCCATAGGCACATTTTAGCTCCACATTCCCCTACAAGACTGTAATGCAGGCTGCATTTTGCAATGTAGTTGCAAAATGAACCTTTAACAACATGACACTAGTGATATTTTATCACAGTACTCAGTAGAGTAAGCACAGCACCTAATAGACAGGCATGTAAAACATTAAACAATAAACACAGTACTTATGGGGAAAAAAAAGAAACTGTTTCCCATCAGTCTTTGACACCATGCCAGAGAGGAAGCAGAAAAACAGTAGGAGCTCAGCTTTGTTACACACCTGACTTGATAACTAAGAATAAAACAGTTACACATACTGTACTGTGACCTATACAGCATTTCTTCATAAAAATAATAGTTTTCACATGACTATTTAGATAACAGGTGTTGATCTGGTCTAAGCTGAGACTGTGGTTCTGCTTCCAAGTGCAGGGAAAGGTCTTGAAAACCCAAATTGTCTCCCAGATCTTAGTTTTGTTGTGAAAAGCTTCATGGCAGTAAACAGCATAGCAATCAGATTATTTGTATCAGGAGATGATGTTGGATTTAATCTTGTTGGCAATTGGCCCTGCAGTGCCATTTACTCCAGCTGTCATGTGGGTTTCTGGAAGACATGGAGAAACACTGCACTGCCGAGGGCAGGAGGAGCAAAGGGGGAAATGATGGGGAGCTGATGTGATGGAAGTCAATGGATCCAAAGAAGCCCAAGCTACCATGGCTAACTAAACCATCTTGCTGCAGTGCATGGAGCAGGGCAGGAGTACCTGCTGGACTTCTGGGTGCTTACAAGTCATTTATTGTTTATTTGAAAAGGTAATATGTAAACTTCTATTGTATGCTATTAACAATCTCTGATTTGGATCAGCATTGCATTATGTAGTTCCTGTCAGGAATGTCTTAGTTTGACCTGGTACACCAGGAAGTTGCTAAAACCGTTGTGCGGGAGTGGTGCTAGCAAAGGCAATCTATTTGCAATCAATTCCCATGTGGGCATGGCTGCATTTCCCACTTGTGCCTACTGGAAAAAAAAAAATATCTCCTCTGTGGAGCTACTCTGGTAACAACAAACAACTCCCAGTTAGTCAACTCACAGAAAAACAGAAGTAATAAAGTAGCCTGAGTTGTTGTTGTGACATCTCTACAGATGTATATCTGTAGACTTAGACAAGTGAAAGTAATACACAGAGTCATATCTTGCATTATGTTACTGGTGATACCAAGAAATGCCTCACATCTATCTCAAAAAAGCCCTCTCTGAACTAATATTTTAAAACTACAGTCATTACCCAAAGGTCCTGTTGCTCGAAGCAGCAGCCACTCTCTTTGCTCATCTCTTCAGAACTACCATGTCCCTTTTGTTTGGTCCTTCAAGTTGTGAGCATCAGTAGGACTCTAAATTCTCTCTTTTTGTTGGTTTCATAAATGCAGACAAAATAAATGTATACATATTTTAAGATGGAAATGAGATTGTCTCCTATCTTCTCCCTCAGACATTACTTATCAGGAACATTTGTTTCTACTCAGAGCACAGTGGTATTTTGCGGTGGCTAGAACCACTTCCCCTTGGGGAACTTGGATAGATGAAACCTGCAGGTTTCCTCATAGCAGCCTTGAGGTGCTTGCATTTAACTTTACAATGGTGTTAAATGGAGAGATTCCAGTGAAACCAAATAAAATAAAAGCAGAGTTAGCATCATATTGAGTGACAGGATGAAATAGAGGAAATGGCTTTAGTCCTTTTAAAGCTACATAAACCTCCATGGTAAAAGCAGACATTTCTGATGCAAGAAGGCAGGAGGGAGCATGTTGCTAGACAGGTCCAGCCTGAGATGGCTACATACCTAAATTTCCAAGGAATGCAAGGTCTAACCTGCCTCCAAAGGGGCTCAGCACATACACTGGTCTGTCAAAATGTATATCCCTCTCAGGCCAGCTCCCACTCTGAGAAGTGCTTCCAGAAACATCACTTATCCTACACCATTGAGGCACTGGACCTCGTTGCTCCCAAGTCTCCTGGTTATGCTCCCAACTCTTAGGTGCATAAGAATGATGTAGGACCGACAGCTGCTGGTGGTAACGAAAATGCAGGCCAGGAAGGCTGCTCTGGGGAGTTGTGTAATTTGAGCACGTGCTTTGTTTTTCTTCCCCTGCTGCCAGTAGCATGTCTAGCATCAGCAGCTGCAGATACTGTTTTATCCTCAGTGCCTCAGGATAAAGTCACAAAGTTATGGCCAAAGGCTTGAAGGATGCACTGAGTACGTCAAACCCAGCTAGTTCAGGTACTGCTAGCAGTAAAACTGATAGCAAGGATCTATTTCCAGTAAGCTAAGCAAGCACACCTCTATCCCTGCATACAGCCTCTCATCTCATTCCCTCAATGAGCGAGGAGCTGGTTTGCCCCAGCTACTCACCGGGTACTGATACAGCTCCTGCAGCTGGGCATTGATCCACTCCTCCAGGTCTAGCCAACGCTGTAGGTCTTTGCGGTTGTACTTTATGGTTAACTTGCCCAGTTTTCTGTGTGACGATTCTTCCCCAGGTTTCTCTGGAGTCTGGAAAGTCACCCGGGGCAATGCGCTGGAGTTGTTGGCCATCCTCACCACTTCCTCCTCTTTGTTCCTGGCTGCTCTCCTCCGTCTTGTAAGCAGTGTCTCCCCACAGCTCCTGGCTCACAGCACAAGCCACTTGTGGATGTCGAAGGCAGGCAGCATTGGCAATGCCAGGGAGCAGTGGCAGGTGCTGTAGGCAGGGTTACAAGAGCAGGCTCTTGGGTTTCACAGGATGCTGCTGATGAGCAGGAAGAGAAGGGAGATGGCTTGGTGTAATAACATCTGCTGTTAAAAAGTGAAGCAGGGAACCGATGAACAAAGGTTGTTAATATTTAACGTACATCAGCTCCAAGAAGCAGCAGGAGGTGGGGAAGAGAAGGTTTTGAATTACTTTTCCTACAGATGCAACTGACGTGTGTGTGCAAATCCAATGGGCTGATCCGCTCTTTTACAAGGATGGGAGTGCTAGGTCAGTGGTGTTACCAGCCAAACTCAGAATCAGCACTCCCCATTTAACCTCTTCTGCAGTCTGTCCATTTCTTCTAGCTTTCTGTAAAACTTCTGTCTAGAAAACCTGACGATCTGAATTTGAGGTCATCTGAGCAAGGCATTTCAGCAGTAAAACAAATTATCTGTGTTCTTATTAAAAAAAAGCTATATGTAGTGCGACAAAGTACTGCAGGTTAACGGATAAAGCATTATCTCCTTCTTGTAAAAAGGTAATTATAGATGGTAAATAGGTCCATCTGCTGAAGCACTGTAAACTGCTAGAGTGTTTATTACCATTGTTTGGTTTATAATCTCTTTCTTAACAGAAGAGGGTTTAAAGTTCTGCAACATTATTGCCCTGTCTTATGTTAGGGGACATGGGCAGTGCAGTACAGAGGGGCAGAAATCAGACTGGACTTGTTTATGCACTGCCAGTTTCCCCCAGATGTTGTGTCACACCCCTTTATCCAGCCATCCCCAGAGCCCTCCTGTGACCTGCTGCAGGCGCTGCCTGGTCAAATGGCTGAACCTGAACTGAGACCTTCTGTTGTAAAGCACATCAGCAGTTCCAGTCCCATGGGCTGTGTGGGAAAAGAAGATATGCCAGTGCTGGCATCCTCTGGAAGTCATACCAGGTCCCCTTGTCACAACCAGGTAATTGTGCCCAGAGGGACAGAGGCAACTGGCCAACAGCAAGTCCTACATGGGCCAATAAGAAAATGGAGCACTCCAGCCCTTCTTTTTCCCTAAGTTTGAACAAAACCCAAAGATTTTCTGACAGAAAATTTTGCAAAATTCTGACTCTGAAGCATGCTTCAGCAGCATTACAGGGAAGGATAAAGTACACCTAAAAATGGTGTCCTTGTTCCCTGCTTTGCAGACAGCCTAAAGTTTGTATTCAGGAGAGAGCTGTCAGGTAATTAATTTACTAAGCTTTCCTCATTTTTCCTCACTACTTGACTGTATTCCCTCTCAAGTTTCACTCTGGAAGCTGTCTTATTTAACCAAAATCACCCAGAAAAAATCCATAACAAGAGAGGCTGGGATCATACTCCCTGAGGAGAGATTTTTAACATTCCAAAACCCCTCAAACATCTTCTGACATGTTTACAACTACTGACTTTCCAGAGGTTAATAGGCTGGCTGACCACATCGTAAATCTGAACCAAAGGATGCCAGGCATCAGTTGTCTACATACAGAAATGCTCTATCCTGGTGTTCAAAGACTGACATTTTCCTGTTATTCCTACTGCCCCAAATGCTGACAGATTTTTCTGAGGAAATGGCACTAAGATCAAGGAAAGTGGTCAACCCAAAATCTACTGCAGTTGAAGGTTCCAGCAGAAAGTTGTCCCCCTTCCCCCAATTCTGTGCAACAACCCTATTACTCTTCCACAACTCTAAATGGACTGAGCCAAATTTATGAAGCATGAGATGGATGTGGAGAAGAGGGGAACACCCGGCCCTAATGCCTGCTGTGCAATCAGCTGGGGCCACTGTTACTTGTAACCTCGCTCAAGTGCAAACTAAGGCTGAGATAAGGCATGTGAGAAGGCCACAGGCAATCTCACCCTGTTGCTTGCACTTTATCAACAAAGCAATAAGCATGGTGCCCTGGTGCCGCCTGGGTCAGCTACAGGGGAATGCCAGAGGCCTTTCAGGATAGCTGCAAGCCAAAGCAAGCAGCCTCGCAGGATGTTTGTTATGCCACTATGGATTATACGTGCTTACTCATGAACTCTTTGTTACGAGAAGCTGGAAGTACAGAAATAAATGCTTACTGATTAAGTAGGGCTGCTCCAGCAATAAGGTAATTGAATCAATCATTAAATAAGAGGAAGAAGCTCAAAGACGATGTGTGAAAACACCCTGTGAAGGCGTGGTGCCAGTTCCAGTGCACAGCACCAGGTGTCCCATACAAAGCAGGCCAGAGCAGGTCCTCCATGAGTGCACAGCCACTTCCTGCACGCCTGCCCTAAGAGGGAATATTTGCTTCCAAAAGGAGCAGAATGGGATTCAATTCTACAAAGGAAGGGCCTGTGTCAGGGAGAGCTGAGTGCTTGTACTGCTGTGCCAAACAGCCGTGACACCAGGGCATGAGAGCTCTGGTTACATTCCTCTTGCAGCTGATGACCTCCATCCACAGCTGAGACTGAAGATGGTGCTTCTCCTTCTCTGCAAGCTGATGGCTGTTATGCACCATCAATAATTCAGCAGGGCCCCGGCTCCTCTTTCTGGAGGAGCAGACTGGCCTCTTTCCCTCGAGTCCCAGCCCAGAGATGACATTTTTCCTTCCGATCATCCAGGAGCCACTCTTCACCTCCTTTGAAAATAATCACTTTCCCTGTGGTTACAAACATGGTAGTTAACACAAATTAAGCCAGGAAAGGCAGCAGAGGTGACTGTACCATCATGAGGTTGACACCACAAGGTAAGGACATGCTGCACCCTCTTGCAGGCATGGGCAGGCATAGGAATGACCCCCACCCCTCAATGCTTAGGTGAAGCTGACAGTTTGATTCCGAATGGATCATATTGGGATCTCTGAAAAATCCATCCGTGTTGTTTTGTTGCTCTACTTCTCATATTGCTCTGCTGTTCCCCTACAGAAGGAGACCCACAGCGCTGAAAGTGTGATTGGTGTTTTCATGCAAGCTCTGGAATAGTGGAGTTGGAGGCAAGAGAAGCAGTGGCTGAAAGATGAAGGGAATTCTTGCTTCCCAACCTGCTTACAGCATTTCAGGCTGTCCGCATAGTTCTCGCTCCAAGAAGTGTGTCCTGACACAAGCTCCTCGAAGGGGGGCTAGGGACCTGCGGGAAATCTCCATCCCCGGACCTGAGGGATAGCGATCTCCAGAGGCACTGGCAGATGGCCTGTCTGCGGCTATCCAGGGGCTGTGGCTGCTGAAAGAGGGGAAGGAGGAGGAGGAGCCCTAGAGAACCGCACAGCCCAACAAGAACAGCTGAGGATGCCTCTGGGGACTTAAATGGAAGATGTTAAACTTCTACTTCCTGCCCAGGGGAGGCAATTTGCTTCACAAAAGGAGCCATTTCCATACCTATCTCCCTGTAAAAGCCTAGCACAGACATGGCAAGAATGCAGATGCTTTCTGGCGTAGCTAGTTTCAGTACAATTTCGCCTTCTTTTCCGAGCCCTCCTGCCCTTAACACCTTACCGTGACTAGCAACAGTAAAAGAAGAGCCAGAGTGCCGCACAGGACGCAGACAGGAACTTCCCCAAAAAAACAGCACACTCTCTTTGTGGTGCCCTTCCCACAGCTGCCCTTGAAACGGTGGGAAAGGCTCTGCTGGGGACTCAGCAGCCTGTCATCCTTTCCCTGGTTGCATTCCGCAGGACGGGTTGTTAGTCACGGTCTGTGAGATCCCTCCCTGTCTCCTTCCCTTGACACATCTTTGTGCCGTCACTTGTATCCGGGTCTCGCCCGCAAACCACACCAGGAGGTTTAACCTGAGGCAAATATGACAAAACAAGCAAGCAAGCAAATCTGTCTCCCCAGCACTAGGTACACACGGAGCGGTTCCCAGATAAAGCCAAGCAGAGTGGAGCCATCTGCAGCAGCCTGCGTGCTGTCGGGAAGCCGCCGCAAACCGCGGTGCCACTTGGCTGGGCGAAGTCCAGCAAGTCCTCCTTGTTTGTGTGCCTACCTGGATCTATGCCTCACAGCAGCCAGGTGCCCAGAGCTGCTGGGGTCCCCTCAGTGGTGACATCAAGGCTGGTGACGCAGGCTCCTGTGTGATTTGCTGCAAGCTGTGCATGTCGAAGAGCTGCAATGATCCTGGTCAAATATTAAGCCACTGTGTAGTTTAACCCCCCAGCTGAATAGTTATTATTGCAGGGCTAAGAGCAGGCACTTCTCGCCCCATGAAAGACAAACAGTAACCATGACTCACTGTTTCACGACCCCTTTTAAAACACTCCCAAGCCATAAAATCACACAGCCTGCTTTCTCTTCACGCTAATATGAGTAACACACGGCTCAGCTGGAGTCACGGGGAATAATTCATTTGGCAGAAGATGAGGCCTGAGATAGGAGCTTTGGGCTGGGAGCAGGTCTTGAGTTGGAAGGAGTGATGCTGTAATGGAGAGAGGTTTCCAGCAAAAGTCCTTGGTCCTGGGGCTGACCTCACTTAAAACAGACATTACTGAAGCTCTCCAGAAATTAAAAGAAAAAAGAAAAAAGAAAAAAGAAAAAAGAAAAAAGAAAAAAGAAAACCAACAGAAAAAAACCCCTACAACAGGTACATTCAGTAATGCTGCTGGCACTGAAGTGGAATGCATCACTCCTACAGTGAAGGACCAAGCCTGTGATGCTTAAAAGTCTAATGAACAAGCCATGTTCATCTGCCAAACAGAAGTGGTTCACGTTTTAATAATATAAAGAATATTAAAAGTAAAGTCACATTTTTAGGAAATTGTCACAAGAATTTTAGCTGGAGGCTGCTCAGCTGAAAATAACAGAGAGAACAAATCCATAAAAGCCATACTGTTCATAAGGTGTCTCTTCCTGTGTTTCCTAATCTAGGTGTTCCCACTCCAGCAGGGGGATTGGACTAGATGATCTTTTGAGATCCTTTCCAATCCCTGGCATTCTGTGATTCTGTGATTCAGTCAGCAATACCCATATGGTCCTAAGATGTATTTAGCAATGGGTTTCCAGCAGAGAGAGAGATCCCTGGTGATCCATTCTTTAGCCTATGGTATGCTTTATTAAGCAACAAACTTAATAACTGTACAATAACAACAAGGCCCTGCATCTGGAAAATGCACAGAAAAAAAAAGCAACTAAGATAACCGAGGTGAAATGCCGTAAAAGAAGTGATTAAAAGCTTGTGGCAGGTTTGCACTAGCATAATGAAGGCTGAGTTAGGATATGATTTTACTGAGGAAAATAGGAAATAAGCTTTTGAAATTAAAGGACAGCAATGCAAAATAATAATAATAATAATAATGTAAAGTAACATTGAAAACCTTTAGGGTGAGCACCGAAAAGCCTGCAATGGGAGACTGGTACAGCCTTCTAATGGGAGCAAAGGAGATTAAACCCCACTCCCCTTCAGGCTAGATCAGTTTAGGCTGAATCACTTTATGAAGGGGCTTACTCATTCCATACACACTGAAAAAAAGGAGGGGGGGCTGAGTGCCTCAGGCGGTGAAGAACAAAAGGAGACAATCCTGGCATTGTTTGTTTCCCCAGCACCACAGGGGCTGCAGGCAGAAGCAGGCAGCAGGAATTGAAGACTCTGGATGTGAGCAAGTTCCCCAGAACTCAAAGCTAGATCCTGCTCAAGGCACAGCCATGGCTCACCATCTCTGTTCCAATGTTTGCCATCAATACCATCTTGCATTTGCTGCTGCCATTGAAGTGATGCAATATTTCATTAAAAATAATGTCCTGGCAAATTGCAAGCACTCCCTGCACTCCTAAGCTCTGTGACACAGAGATAAGAAGAGTTTACCCAGGGGCTTTGGGACTGTTTGCAGTGGAAGGGGGTGGCACCAATGTAGCTGAGGAACAAGGGAACTTGATCTCCACTCTACAGAAGCAGGAAGGTAGGGAATGTAACCCAGTTAGAGCAAGCAGCCTTTGCGTTCCTGTCTGTGACTGAACTATACAAGAGGAGTACTATGCCCCCAAAGATTGAAACAAATGATTTTGAGCAGGAAACCTCTGGCAATGGGTGCAGGCTGTGAGACCGAGCTGGGGATTGACTCATTTGGGTCAGCGAAACTTGGGCTCTGTGCCACCCCTCAGTGATGCTGGGCTGTGAGAGCTACCACCAGAGGACATGGGCTTTCAGCACAGCAGGTCTGGGCTTTTGGCTGGCTGAAGCATGGCAAGGTGCTGGGTGCCCTTGCACCTGTGCGAGTGTGCGGTTTTCAAACACACAGGGTTGCACTGGGTGCTCCCTGTGAGCCTTCACTCCCTTGCCAGCTGAGCTGGAGATGGTATCAGCCCGCTCTCCTCCCCTTCCTCTTACGCAATGCAGCGTGGAGGGGAGTGACTTGATTTTTTTTCCCCTCTCTCTGGGAGTTGGTTTTCACTTCCTGCCCCTTCTGTGCTTTTGTCTGCACTGGACGCTGCTGAGGGCACACCTGAGAGGTGAAGGTGTAGGGGACCAGGGGGAGACCCCACTCCTGGCATCGGTCCATCTAAGGCCGCACAGGTGGGGGCCGGTAACGTCGGTTTGGGGGTGAGCTTGCAGGGTGGGGGGACACGTTGGCCACCTGGGGCAAATGGGGCCTTGGGCATGCTCCAGATCACTGCTCACCCCACGTTGGCAGGTACCTGGATACCATCCCTCTTAGCTTGTCTGTTTTTTCTCTCCCTTTAGGAAAGGACTAGGGTCACAAGGCGGGAAGGATCGGGTTGCCGAGATGACCAGAGGAAGACCAGGTCCACGGACCGGACTCTGGGTCTGCCTGGTGCTGGTAGCAAGGGTGGTCTTTGGTGAAGAGCAGGAGACAAAGCCCTTTGGAGAAATGTGCCTGGAGAACTTTACAGCAGGGATACCGGGTTTGGTGCTGGACACAGATGCCTCCGTTCAGAATGGAGCCACCTTCTTATCATCCCCCATGGTCCATCAGAGCAGGGACTGCATGAGGGCTTGCTGTAAGGACCCTGCTTGTAACCTGGCCCTTGTGGAGCAGGACCCAGCCTCAGAGGAAGACCACATCCGGGGCTGCTTTCTCCTCAACTGTCTCTATGAGCAGACATTTGTCTGCAGGTTCGCCAGGAAGGTCGGCTTTCTCAACTTCCTGAAGAGGGACGTCTACGATACCTACCACCAGGCAATACAGAAACATGGATCTAGTGGTAAGGAGTACATAAAGGATCTGTGCAAGCTGGGGGTAGGCAAGCACTGAGGGCTTTGGGCCTCATTTCTACCATTTCTTATTTGTGCTGCTGCATTTCATCAATTCACGATCTGTTCCAGTTTACTTATTAGTAAATAGAGCAGGAGCCATTCTGTAACCTATTTGAAACAGGTGGAGAGTGTGTTTACCAAATGCAGGCTGTATTTTTGATTCTTGACAAGGCAGAGAAAAATATATTGTTTTTCTTCTTTCTCCCTCCTTGTTCCTCCTACCCAGCCCTGTAAGGCTGGAAAGTGAAATCCTCTAAAATTGAAACATCCCTGTATTTAAAGGGCTGCATTAAGTTCCTAATTGCTTGGGGGCTGGAGACAGGGCACAACCTGCATACCTTTCCTTTTGCCACAGCCCCAGTCTTGTGAGGCCCCTCTGCGGGGCTTGTTGAGGCTGCTTGGTTTTGCTGGCTGGGTTTTGATCATGTCGCTTCCACTCTGGGTCTGTTTATCTCTTTCAGCCTCTGCTTACCTGCTCAGAAAGTTTGCACCAGGCCTAGAAATCCAGGTGAAAAACAAGTTAATCTGTACCTGGCCACCAGCCACGTGCTCTGTGATCTCCTTAAAATGCTGTGTTCCGAAACACTAAAACCAACTCCTCCTGTTGCTTCCTTCCTCCCTTGTTTTGGAGGAAGCCTAACAAGCCTCTGGCACGACTTGGTCTTTGGCAGCTTTAACCAGCTTACTGCCTGTGGAGGAATGGACAGAGCTTCCAGGAGATTTTCCTCAGCCCCCCAGCCCACCCCTGGTGCACAGTGCAGGTGCCCAGGGGAGCAGCTGAGTGCGTGACACTTGATCATGTGAGCTGCATAGTCTTGGATCTTCTGCTGGATGTGCCAGCCTGCAAGGCCAACAACTTTTGGCAGAGCAGAGGTGGCTCTCCTGTCTTCTCTTTCCCCTAGTTGCTTCCCACTGCATTTTAGGGCTTTCTGGTGAATCTCAGCTCCTTGTTGCAGAAGGCATTCCCATGCCTTTGCTCCAGGCTCAAAAGCCTTTCCACAGGGGTACAGCTAGTCATGCACTGAAAGCCACATCTCCAGGAGTAGAGGTGGCATGATAGCAGCTGCCTGAACTCCCACATGTTTTTCTGTAGGAGGAAAAGGTAATGCATCATCCTCAGTGCATCCTAGTTTCACAAGGTTAGATTGAAAATATGATGTGCTGTTGAGCAACGAGGTCCCTTCACCTCTGCAGACCAGCAGGCTGCAGCCCCCTCCCCAGGCTGCCCACAGCTGTGCAGGGCCAGCTCCCATGGTTGAGTGTGAGGTGGTAATGGTGGAGCAGAGGGACCACAGTGGAAATGGAGAACATGGTAGAAGTGCTCTATGAGCCCACCTGGCAGCAAAAAGGATGTTGGATGTGGGTTTTCCTTCCAGACCTGTTGTGGATACCTGAAGAGGCAGGGTGAAACTGAGGGTAAGGAAGATGTTTTTAGCACACTGGACTTTCCCCCTATGCTTTCCTCTTGGACCTAATTTTATGCTGCAGACAAAGATGTCTGCTCACTGTCGTGCTGCTCCTCTCTGAATGTGCAAAGCTTTGTGGCTGCTCTGGACCTGGGCTGTCATCGTCTCCAGGGCTGGGTGCCGAAGAGTGGTGGGGAACTGTATGATGCCCTTCTTTATATGCTGTCTAGTGTCCTCAGAGCCCCGAGGGTGTGCTCAGTGGCAATCTCCAGATGGGCTCTGCAAAAATGAGGATCAAAAGCATGCTTTTCTAGCCAATAGTGAAATATGTGTTTATGTGGCTTAGCACCCCAGTGGGTGATATTAAAAGAGAATGGCCACATGTTGCAGGACTCACAGTACTGCTACAATAGACTTGCTGGATTCAGAGGCTTATAACTTTTCACGTGGAGATAGGTAACACTGGAAAGAAAGCACAGCTGGGGAC